AAACGTGAACCTTCGTGCCCCTGAAGTCTATCCGACAAACCCGCACTCATCATGTCGGCTCATGAATCTGGCGTTGACCTGAGCTTTGACATCTTGGAGCTGGATTTTCACGACTTCGAAAACATCCTGAAGGAAGGCTGCGATGAGAACGGCTTCTACACACTCAAGTCGAAGCCCCCATCTCGTCCAGGTGAGTTGCGTCATTTTACAGGTGATGTAGACTTCGCTATGTGTTGGGTGCGTGTGGGTGTGTAAGGCTGCGGTTTGCGAAGGTGTGCGAAGGAAAGGCAAGGATAAAGGAAGGAAGAAAGGAAGGATGAAAGAGATAGAGAAGGAAGGTGGAAAGTTTGCGTTACAGATGGTGTCTGGTGGGTTATTTAATGTTGGCTTTGTGGCATTTTGAGGTTTACACAACTTTCCTCATTAGCATAACCGTATCGAAGTGATTGACATAGTGAAGAAGATAAAGAGAAAAAATAAAATGATATGCGATATATCCTTATCTCATTCTATTGTTTTCTTCTGTTATTTTATGTATTATTCTGCTTTGACGTCACGAACAAACAAAAATATATGCAACGAGAGACGACATTGACTTGGAAATCCGTCAGTTAGATGTCGAACAATGCAATCGTGTTGAAGAATTAACAAGGAAACCTTTATCAAGTCTTCTCAGGCCATGTGACCGACGCATACGTTTTGTACGCTGGGTTGCTGCAGTTTCACTTTTATTTTTTATTTTATTTTATCTTATTTTATCTCTCTCTTTTCATTCGTAATATACTCTGGTGTTCTACGATGCGTGGTGTCTTTGGAGTCGTCTGTTGGAATCTGTGGTGTGGTTGTGGTGTAGAGGTTTACACGTGAATCGAATATATTTGAAGGGTTTGCTGTGCGGGTTTGTCGAGTGGCGGAGCATGAGAGGGGGGGGTGGGAGGGGTAGGGGTCAGGGAGGCTGGCCAGGTGGGAAGGGGAAGGGGCAGGGGAGATGTGCTGGCTGGAGGGGCAGGGGTGAGGGTAGCGGGTAGTGAGGAGGGCTGGGTAGAGGTAGCTGGAAGGGGAGGGGCTGGTAGAGCGTAGCTGGAAGGAGGAGGGGTGGGTAGAGGTAGCTGGAAGGGAGGAGGGGCAGGGCAGAGGGTAGTAGGTAGGGAGGACGGACAGACGGGCAGGGTAGAGGGGAGGGGACAGAGGGGAGGGGCATGCCGAGTAAGCAGGGAGGGATAGCCTCTGCTCGCTCTCTACTACGGCACTTGTACAGTCTCTCGTTGACACATGTTGCTCTGCCGTGTCGCGTCAAGCATCATCGCCAAAGGTGCTCTGTGTTGGCGGCGGTGCTCCAGTGTTTCACATTTTAAAAAGAAAGAAAACGTACGTATTTAGGCATCAGTGAGGAGAGAAACTTTGAGGCCAGTTGGTACGCCTGCAAAACCGGAAAAAAACGAACGCATTCTCCGGAATAGAAGAAGAATCGGAAATGGGGTATTTAACCTTATTATTCTTTATATAATGTAATTAGAATGGAGGTATATAATGGTAGAAAAAAGGTAAAAAGAAAAGGTGTTCGAAGCTGTTTTTCCTTCTGCGTGCGGACAAAAAAATGATAACGCTATTTTCGGCGGTGAGACATATCGAACTTTTTATTTTTTTTATTTTTTTAGATGATTTATGCATTTGTTTATTCTCTTCCGCGTGATTAGTTTTTAATCGGTGTAAACATGTTTTCGATTTACATATTTATTTACATTTGACGTACATAATTCCTTTTAGGTGTACGTTTCCAACTTGTTTCATAGT